CCGAGATCCCATGTATTTGCTTTTATTCTGCCTTTCAAGGCAGAGGCAGGGAGCCCCTGGACCCCATATTGGCAAACTGGGTTTGAATGAGAAAACATGCCTCAAAGAATAATGTGGAAGAGTGAGGGAAGACTCACAACATTAAACAAAGTATTCCTCATCACATGCACATAATTGAATGCAAACGCACGCACACGCATCCATGCATGAGAGGAGAGAGATGGTGTACAGATAAAAACCCATGGAAAAATAGCAAAAACAAAAGTTCCTATGGCCCTGGATTCTACACCCTGAAGAATTCGCACACCTCTTATGTATGGAACAAATAATAAAATGAATCATCCAAGTCTAGGAAATTTTAATTAAAATAAATATTCTGGGAGAAATTTTTCTCTCATTCAATAGAAACAAGTTAGAAATGTACAATGTAGCAGAAAGTTTGTATATCCCAAAGCATTTTGATAATTTAAGTTGCATAATTTGTAATTACAATATGTAGACAAATTATTTTTCCTTCTGCAATTTACCTAAAAATCTTGAGGCTAATTATTTGAAGAAATTATTCTAGAAAATTTCTGACAGTTCAAATACTCTGTGTTTTGCACAAGAAAGTGGGACTTAGTGTTTACAATCTCTCCTTGGCAGTCATCTCCCGCTAGGCTAAGGACAAGTGTTATTTTCCAATATCCTAACTCATTCCCCGTGGGCTTTGATACTTTAAACCTACTTTATGTATTTTTTTTATTTCATTCATTTAAAGTGTGATGTATATAATATATATGTATATAACATATACATATAATATATACATATGTATATGTACATATATATGCATATATACATATAATATAATATATGTATATAGTATATACATAACACAATATATATTATATACATAACACTTTAAATATATATATTTAATATATATTTATATATATATACTTAGTTCACACTTAAACTATATTCACTGTCTTAATAATAATGTTACTTTGTTCTCATGAACTTATGCATCAGCTTGTCCACGCACACCCACACACACACACACACACACACACACAGAAACAACGCACAGAGATTTTCTATTCTACTTGTATTAAGCCATGGTTCTTCTCTTCCAGGTTTTATCTGTTAACCTCTATATCTCTGCCTCTCTGCACCTTGCTCCCTGCCCAGAGAAAGTGTCCTGTATAGATGATATCTTGGTGACATTTCAATTTCTGTAATATGACACTGAACAAAGCATCTTATAAAAAATGTTTATAGCTGGCTTCAGTTTCAGAGGATGGGCCCACAACCTTCATCTCAGGAAGCATGGCAATAAACAGGCATGGTGTTCGGGAAGTCACTGAGAGATTGCATCTTGAGACGCAATCTCAAGACACAGAAAGATAACGGTGAATGTGACTTGTGACACATGTGCTCCAAAAGGCCATACCGCCTACTCATTCCCAGACAGTTCCACAAACTGGGTATCAATGTTCAAATATATGAGCCTATGGGGCCGTTCTCATTCCACCTACTGAAGATGACATCAAAGTTTCCTTGTTCTCTTATTTCTAATTGAGCTAAACAACCAAGTTTCTATCAGGAGATATGCAACAGGGAGGGTAAAATGAATGCTCTTATATTTTTGGATATCTCCATAAAAAAGTTGCATTGGCCTGAATACTTTCCTTATTGAATATAACTCTCTCTGCTGGGCCTGCTAACCAACCCCTAGCATTTTACCTATAGACTTGCAAGTAGCAATAAGCCTCACTTTATGTACTCCAGTATTTTCTATTTTATATGATTTTCCACAGTCACCCTTTCAAAGTGAATTTTCCACCAATTTCAATGACACAAGTACACAGATTCAAAAATATCTGCAGTTTCAGCAGAGTGAGTGACAATAACACATTACTTTCTCTCTGTTTATAGCAATCACTTTCCCAAAGAGCTCGCAAGTCCTGATTAGGGTGGATGGAGGGAGGTAACGAAGCAAATTAGACAGTAGGCTGCATACAGTTCTTGTCTCACATGTACGTGTCACTTTGTTTTGGTAACAAGATCACAGAGGATGACATGGCTGTGATCAACTTCAATGAACTGGCCAAATTATGAAAAATTACAAAATTAAATATGATGAAACGGTAATAATAGTTTCTGATCATCCTATACAAAGTACTCTCTGAACTAGGGTAATTTAATTGTAAGACTAGTGACAACATAGGGAGAGAAATAACAATGTAGAAGAACATTAACGAAAGAATAGTTAAAATAGATGTGGTTAGAAGCTGATTTTTTCATAAACAGCAATCCTTTCATTTAATATATGGTTGTATGTGTATAATTACATGAAACCAAAAATCACTCTGAAACTACAGTTTAAATTAAACTTTGAAACTTAAATTTATTTTGCTTAAATGGAGCTGATATATTTAATTTTACTTCTTAAATTTAATTAGCTTAAAATAAAACTCGTTTTAAGTTAAGGAAATAATAAAAAAGACAGAAAATACATACTTGGAATTATGTCACATAATAAGCATGTTTTAGCATCCAGTTTGTGTTCAGGGAATTCTAGCATGTTTTTGAATCCCATGAGCATTCTTAGCAAAAACAGTGTGTTGTATAGCCATCAGTACATTTGGTCAATGACAATGGAGTGGATATATTTTCCTTAAACATAAGGAGGCTCTGACTCTACATGAAAACCAGTGTGTTGAAAGGCCCATGGCCTGGAACCCAAAACCTGCTCTGGATTCAGTTTATTTCTGCTAGGAAGTTGTTATGGCTCCCCACCCCAGGAACTATATTACACAGAGGCAGATAGGGTAAAATTATGTGATGTCTCATTAGAGAATCCTAAGTATCTCTGAAACAAGGGCTGCTGAGCAACTTGGCAGCAGCTGGCATTATTCCTTCATGCCCCTTGGGGTAGTGCCAGAGGGACAGAATCCCTAGCAAATTTGGGCTGAATTCTCATCCAAATGAACACCTGCTGTCATTGTCCAGCATCAAATCTGCACGTCACAAGGCCAGCTCTCTTCCTGGTGGAATCCATTCAAATGGGAGAAGCCTGCCAGGGTTGTGCACTGGTTTTTATTTCCCGCTCCTTTTACTAAGCAGTCAATTGCCTGAGTATCTTGGAGATAGAAATAATACTAAGTGTATCTTTGGGTAGTTGGCATGGTAATGGTCTACATTAGGAGTTTATTCAAATATATTCCTATCTGTTTAAATATTCTTTCATTTTTTCTTTTCTTTTCATTTCTCCTTTTATACCTAGCTTAAATTGCTTTTCAAGAGCAAAGATTTTATTGTAAAAGTATATACTTTAAAGAAAAGGCTCCTACACAGCCTATAACTAGAAGAAACAAATAATTCAAGTGAAAATTAATTCAATGATAGTCTCCCAATTGACCAGAAGTATTGGCCATTTAATCTTGTATGCCTCAGTTCCCTTTCCTTTGCTTTTGTGTAATTGTAGCTGAATTTGCACAGTTGGTTGGTGCTCCAAGTTTATTTTTCAATCAGGTAGGAATAAATTTAAGACAAATGCTTTTTAAAAACAATTACTGATCAAGGAACATATATACCAAAAATAGCTCAGTTTAAATTTCCATATAATTGTGTAACACTGTAAGATAAAGACATAATCTAAAATGTTACTATGACTTAGTAGTGAGTATTTATAAAACTTGTTATAAATTATGCAAAGCTATTAGACCAAACAAAGTGAACCTTTTTTGTTGTTGTTTTGAAATTTCATGATAAAAAAATCAATCCATGGAGAATGTTCTGGGTATTTTTATTTTAAGTGCTGTTTCAGTGCTCCTCTATCTATATGTTTTTGTCCCTCTTCATGCAAAATAACTCAATTACTTGACAATTGATAACATGTAAAGTGTGTTTAAATAGCTGCAGCTTGCTCTGTCTTGCAGAGAGCCTCTCTGCCATCTGCAGCTCTTGGTTCCTCTTGCTGAGCTTTGTGCTTTGTTATGCATGAGCAAACACATCAGCCTTTTTATTTCATTCATTAGACTTTTAATCCTTGATTAGTGTTTTCAGCATTCTCTCAAATACACAACTTCTTTACTTCTTTTGTATTAGGTTTCTTTTTCTTTTGTCTTCACTTTGAAGCAGACTTAGCATTAAATCACAAAGGCGCAGTTTTAGTAAGATGATGGGTAAATATATTAGTTTCTCATTTGAGCGATTAATTATGTGAAGCTGAAGAATGAGAAAATATCTCCTCACTTGAAATAATAGAGCTGTTTAATATTGGTTTAAATGGTCTAGGCTTCCAAAGCTTGAGTGACAGCCCTCTACCAAGCTCACACATCCACTGTGATTCTTGTATTGAAGAGAAACACTGGCTGAACTACCAGAAAGAAAGCTGCACTCATTAGGGTACCAAACCAGCGTGCTTAGCATCTGAGAGATGAGTTTTATTTGTCACCAGGTCTTTGTGACCTTCTCTTTGTGGGTCTTCTCAGTTACAGGAGATGGGTCAGAAAGCTGTGTGTGTGTATGAACAGTTATTACACATCAGGGCACGCTGAGCAAAGATTACACTGTTTTTTAAATCACCAGACTATCATTGTCCTGTTACGCACAATTAATCTCAAAGGATCAAGAACTTTTCTAAGTAGATTTTTCTACTTAAGACATCTTTTTCACTCTTCTTTAGACAATTGTTCAACTAATTTTTGGCATTATAACAAAGTGCACTACTTAAAGCAGAATCTAAGCATGGGGCCAATACCAGGAATTAAAAGATAGATATATAAATTAAATAGAAATCAATTTCTTTCTTATACAAAAATGATGACTGACTGTTTTGGGTATGTTTATATAGTCATACTCTGCTGACTTCACGTGTATTGTACATCTTTCACTAATTTCAGAACATCTTATCAATAACATTGTAAAGAAACAATTGAACGTCTTGTTTGCAAATTTGTATTTCTACAAGATAGTAAAATCACAATTGTCATCCCCTTTTCTTCTTTTAGGATGCTTCCATTGCACACAGATTCCATATCATGAGAGAAAAGCATCCAGAGAAATTCAACAGTCGGTAAGGCAACAATCGATGGATTTTTAAATATGATTGCTGTTGATAACTGTGTCATTACACAAAATCGTTACGTGGTATAAATATGTAAATAATGGATGAAGTTCAGGTTGTGTGTTCACATTAACATGAAAGTATAAATTAATATGTTTTAGTTCTTTGGTTTTAATTGGGTGATAGTGCAGAGTACAGTGGGCATCGTGTTTATTTCAAGTTCGTGTGCTTTAAAGTAAATATTTCAAGTATATGTTAAAGGTGACAGTCATTAGAACACACTATAAGCCTTTACATGGCTTCGTATGTGAGTGGAGATCATTCTTTACTCCCATGGAGTTCTATTCTGTAACTCTGGGTGACCTTATTTACACAGGTCACTACCCTTTGGACTACCACCCCATATTAGCTTCAAGTAAATGCCAGTAAAATTTGCTTCTCCAATAATATCAATAGGAAAGTATTCTTTTTCTAAATTGTAGACAGTGACCTTTGCCCTTGCTCATGGAAACAGGAAAAACTTGGCTCTCTAGCTTTTATTATTTGGGGAAATGTGATCTCCACCGTAGAAAAAAATGGGACAAAATGGGTGAATCACCTTCTGTTCTTGCTATAATCATTTGCACTTGTCTTTTTTTTTAATATAAAAAACAGATAATTTTTATTGACTGGGTAACTAAAGAAGGAAGAATTTTCCATTTCACAAAATTCTTGAATATTGTAGATTATTGTTACAGGAAGATGATATTTCCACAAAATGAGAATCTATATATGAAAGCCAACTGTGCTTTTACAACTTCATATTAAAAGATATTTAAATTTTATTTGTTCTTTGACAATTTTATTCATATGTTCTTCCTTTCCTCTTTTATCTTTTTTTTATTTAACTTTTTTTAATTACACTTTATTCATTTTGTATTCCCCCATAAGCACCTCCCTGCACTTGGTATTTCTTAAACTGAGAAAATAATAATCTGGATATCTGTATAGAGATTATATGCCTTCGTATATTAACATTCAAAGCCAAACATTCTGTTCTCAATATCAGGCATGCTGATACCTGGCCATGAATACATGCATTTTAGTAAATAGCCATGCAAGTTCTCATGACTGTGCTAATTTTATAATTTACTAGTATTTGACATAATTTTTACATGTAAAAATTTTATTAAAAATACTTAAAAATTTAGTTTCTCTAAACTGTCTGCTTGAGGATATTATTTATTGACTAATCTTAATGCACAGTCTCACATTAGTCATGTTTTATCTAAGTTTTCATTAAAGTCATTTAAGTGCTTTGTAAAACAAATACTTCTAATGCCCATTTGAGCTATTGCTTTGAGTTGATTCTTAAACTACAATTATAAATTATGAGCTTATAACAAGTTATTTCTTCTGTCTTAGATGAGAAAGCTTTAAAACTGTCTATCATTTTCTTTTGTGTGGTAGTTGTAGGTTTACCTGGTTTTGGAACTGAGCAAATACTAGCTTTGTAAATGAGTTTGGTAGTGTTTTCTGTACTTTTGGAGGAACAGTTTGAAAAGCATTGGTATGAACATTTGCTGAAGTTTTAGAAGAATTCTGCTTAGGACCCATAAGGCCCTCGGGTGTACTTTCTGAGGCTTACTTACTACCACTACAATCCCCTTGCTTATGGGGGATGTCGTTTAGAATTTATAGCTCCTTGATTTAATTTTGGTTAAGTCATATGTATCTGAGAACTTGTTTATTTCTTCTATTTTTTTAAGAAAAACTTAGAATATAAGTTTTTAAAGTATCTTATATTTAAATAACTCCATCAGAAAACTCAGATTTAATAAAGTAGCAGGGTACAAAATTAATATACAGAAATCAACAACCTTTTGTATGTCAAAAAGAAATCAGAGGGAAAAAATCACATTCATGAAAGATTCAAAATATATAAATAATTCCCTAGGGGAAAACACCCTACCTGATGATGTGAATGTCCTGTAAACAGTGAAGGAAGTGAGAAACCATTAGATGGGAAAAGAGCTCATATATCCATAGATTGGAAAAAGTCAGTATTTTAAAAGTAATTATATTACCCAAATTATCTACAAATTAATGCACTCTCCATCAAAATTATAATGACCTGTTTCCTTAACCAGGAGACTCAATCCTAAAATTTGTATTTCAGTACAAAAGATCTTACCCTGCCAACAATCCTAAGAAGAAACAACAAACTTGGAGGCACGACAGTACCTGAACTCAAGTTATGTTACAGAGGAATAATTACACACCAGCACCAAAAAAAAAATGGGGTATTCAAAAACAGAGAATAGAGGGCAATTTGAAAACAAACAAAACAAAAATCAAGAAAAACAATGTAATTTTGGCCTCCTAATGTTTGACAAAAGAATCAAAAATTTATGTTGGAAAAAGGAGTTTTTAGTTAAAGTTACTGAGAAAACTGGAATTCCTCCAATCCACAGAGCAATGATGCTAGCTTGTTTTTCTCATTCTGTCCTTCAGTAAAAAATGATTATAATTGAGAAAACAAAGGATAAGAGAGTCTGGGGAAGATGTAAGGAAAGATGAACTATTATTCACTGCTTGTGAGAGTATAAAATAGCACAACCACTATGGAAATTAGTATGGATGTTCTTCAAAAACCTAAAATTACAATTGCCACATGACTCGGTTTTACCATTTTGAACATAAACCAGAAAATGTCTATGTTAACATACCACGAGTATAATTGCACATCTCTGTTTGTTGCTCAGTTATTCACAGTGGCTAAGAAATGAGGTCAGATTGGATGCCTAACAAGAGATAAATGGAGAAAGAGGATATAATACCTGTATCCAAGAGAAGTCTGTTCAGACATAAAGAAAACCAAGTCATAACATATTCAGGAACATATCTGTAACTGGAAATTCTTTAAGTAAAGTAGAGCAAAGTCAGAAAGACAAATACCATGTTTTTTTTCCTCATATTCTAAAGATTCTGACTTTAAATATGTGTATGTAAGTATATAGGACAGATAAATAAATACAAAGTAAAATGGCATATATATATGAAGATGCCTTTATGAAACCTATTTTTTGAATGTTAACTTAAAAATAATAAAAATATAAAATGAGACTAAATTCAGACTGTGGATTTCATCACTTGATAATATGCCTCGCATATTCTGAAAACAAACCTAACCATTACTGTATAAAAAAACTACTATATAATATAGAATATATTTTTCCAAATGTCATTCCATGGAGCATTCATCAGTTTATAGGATGTATTAAAAGAGGTCTCAGGCCCAAAGAAGCCTCCCTGGAAGATACAGAAGGCACCGCACTCTGTGCAATGTTCCATGCAGGAAAAAAAATCAAAGGCTTAGGAAATACATCAGAGCAGGAGAATAGAATTATTTAAGACGTTAACGCCACAGATATTTAAGAAGGAGAAAAACAGACAGATGAAGTGAAAGAATGTTAAATATGTAGAGTAATTTCAAAATGTTTATCTTGCAATCAAATTTGATAACACATAGGTAAGACCGTCATCAACTATGCTCCCCTCTTCAAGTGTCAAAGGATACTGAATGCCCTTTTGTAGAATAGTAGAATAGTTTTTTTCTTTTTAATAATAAAGGCTTGTATTACTGTGTCTTTTAATTTTTGTCACAAATACTTCTAATAATTTATGATATCCTCTTTACCCATTTTATGGGTAGACACTATTTGCATGTTTTCGTGTGCTGATGATATACCTTTGGATGTGAAACTTTACGGAAACTCTTTTGGAAATTTGCAGCATGCATAATCTTGCTTATAAATAGGCTCCAGGGCTTAAGTTACTTGAAAAAATGGGATGTGCAATATCATCTAAAATTACATGTTTCCTTATTTATATGATGAGTTCAAAAATTTTTATGATGAGTTAAAAGAATACTGGTGTTATTGGATATTCTATGACATCATGGCAGCTGGACTTTCTCTGGACTGAAATTGGTCTAGACCCTGGAGAGATCTTGTCTGTGGTTGATTCTTTACTGAGATAAAACAGAAAGAAATGGACTGAACCAATAGCAAGTATTGCTCTTGCCTACCTTGGTAAGGACTCTACAGATGCAGGTAATAAAGGTATATGTGGTCTCTCTTCCCTTTTGACATGATTGGTGTCAATCAATGTACACATATACGGTATGATATATGATATATATTATATATATGAAATATTATATATGGCATATATATGATATATTATATATATGTTATATATATGATATATATTATATGTTATAAATATGATATATATAACAGCACCATCAGATGCACATTACTAGATGATTTTGCAGCAGATGCCAAGATTTCTTCACCCAGGGACCACTTCCCATTTAACTTTTGATTCTCTACCTGAATCTTTCCTGTTTCTAACCAACTCTCCCCTTCAGTAGAATTTTGGCTATAAAGACAAAAAAAATGAGAGTCGGTTGAATCTTGAATAAAAGCTTAGAATGAATCAAGAAGCCTTACAGAGATGCAAACACAGCGTAAATGCTCTCACTTCCTGGAGACTTCTGCTTCTGCTTGCCCAGAAGAGGAAACAGAGCAGATTAGAAACTGGGAATTTTGTCTAAGAATTCTAGTTCAAATGAGAGAGAGGGGGTGGGAAGAGGGGAAAGATATGAAGGAAGAAGAGGAGGAGGAGGAGGAGGTTTGCTTCATATCACTTCTATCTTCAAACCCCTTTAGTCTCAAATCCTTTAGCCATTTTTTGTACACTACATGAATTTATATTTTTCATCTTATTCTTCCTCAGTATCTAGAACCATTCTATGTTTAAATTAAAACTTGGTCACTTGCTAGCTGTGCAAGAGGAGGAGGTATTCAAAACTGTATCCTCTATTGATAAATGAGGAAATAAAATTGATGAACTGTATTTGGCCCATCATGCATACCACATCAGATTCTCTCTGGAGTTCATTTGCCTGGTGTTCAGCATCCTTCTCCCCCCCACAATGTACCATGAAAGACCTTAGCAAGTAG